GTCGTCTGTCTCTCTGTCCACCTGCCTTGCTCCTTCCCCACACTACCTTCTTGGCAGAATGCCCTTTGGAAAATTAAACATTGCTTCCAGATGGAAACAGAACACGAGAAGGGAACTGTATTCATTTTTACATCATTGGAAATGCTAGGAAAGAGAAGAGTCCGAGGCAACTTGAACTGAAAACAAAAAAAACTTCATCTAAATGTTTTTTATGATAATGCTGCACGCTGGTGGGGCCCATGGTGAGAGGGAAGAGGCAACCCCCATACACTGTTGGTGGAATGCAATTCAGTAGAACCTTCCCGAAAAGCTATTTGCTAGGATATATCAAGACCCTTAGAAAAAACTCCTAGCCTTTGACCCACTAACTTAACTTCCAGGAATTTATACTAAGGAAACAATTGGAGACACAGGCAATGGTCCTCAACAAGGATGTGAGTTGCAGGACTATTTATAATAGCTGAAGGGGGATAATAATCTGAATGTACATAATAAGAGTATGGTGACATCAATTGGGGTATACCATACAATACAATACCCTGTTGCCATTTAAAAATATGATATTAAAGCCAATTTAATGACATTGGAAAATGCTTTATTAAGTGAAAAAAACAGGCAACTAACTATGAATGTACTATTATCTCCCAAAAAAAGTGAGGAAATATGCCAAAATGTTAACAGTGATTATCAGTGGTGTATATTATGTATGATTTTATTACTTTTCTTGCTTTTTGGTATTTTCCAATTTTCTACAAGGTCGTCTGTAATTTTGAGTATCAGAATTTTAAAAGATTTGCTTTCTCATTAATGGTCAGCTTACTGCTCATGTCGTACCAGCTCAGGTTTTAACTACTGTGGTGTGGAGGCCACAGAGGGTCTGCCACATCCATAATCAGATTGGGAGCCTGCCGGGGCAGCCCTGTCCACAGTATGGCAGGCATGCCCTGGCTGGTACCGCAGACGTTCCATCATTCAAGTGAGTCACCACAGAAGGGTGTCAAGCTGATGATATTGCCACACACTGTACTTGAACTATCAGCCACAACCCTGCATGCTGCCAGGCCTTTTAGCCTTATCTTCCTAAACCATTATTTCTTCACTGTTCAGTGAATGTCAAAGGGACTGACTGCAACTGTCTGAGTCCTTTGGAGGACACTGTGGACCAGCAAACTAAAGCTGGTGCAAAAGTTCAATCCAAGCCAGACCAGCAAATGTTCCTTCCGTGCTAAAGTTTAAGCGGTTGTTGTTGCTGTGTTGGGCCTCGATGTGGGGGCCTGGTGGGACCCCAGGAATATTTAGGGTGAAAAATGTGCTGGGGCATTCAGCTCAGATACTCCCATTTGGACTCAGGATTGTGGAGAGGCCTTTGGGGGTCGTCTACTAAGATGTTAGTTATAAAATTATTTTCTCTTGTCCTAACCTCAATCGTTTGTTATCTTTGGCCTCATTAGTGGGAAGAGAGTTTGAGAAGTTGATCTTAGAGATTTCAGAGCCAATAGCAAAATCGACTGTTTTGTCTGTCCATGTTGAGTTTTTTAGGGGCGAGATTTTTTTTGTCCTCTCTTGTCATTTTCTCAGCAACCTATAGCCAGACACTTCTTTTTTTTTTTTTAAAGATTGGCACATGAGCTAACAACTGTTGCCAATCCTCTTTTTTTTTTCCCCCTGCTTTTTTCTCCCCAAATCCCCCCAGCACATAGTTGTGAATTTTTTTTTTAGTTGTAGGTCCTTCTAGTTGTGGTATGTGGGATGCTGCCTCAATGTGGCCTGACGAGCAGTGCCATGTCCGCGTCCAGAATCCGAACTGGCAAAACCCTGGGCCGCAGGAAGTGGAGCGCACAAACTTAACCACTTGGCCACAGGGCTGGCCCCAGCCAGACACTTCTGTAGTGAAAGGACAATATAAGATTATGCATAGTCTTGGGACATTATCATCATCCCTGTTCATCTTATTTCCCACCTATATGTTCTCTGAGTTGCATCAAAAGTAAAATATAATGTATTCTCTTTTTCTTGGAGGAACATTTGTATGTTTACAGTCATTCTGTTGCTCCAGGCGTCACTCATGATGGTATATAAAAATAAATGTTCGATAGTATTGTTGATAGTGAGTTTTATTGACGTGACTCTGAAGCACAAATTTAAAAAACATGTAATCCCATAAATAGGTTAAAAAATCATAAGTATTGTATGCGTTTTATTGTTACACTAAAACAGTGGTAATAAACTTTACATTGTAGTCATTTATGGCAAACAAATGTTATTGCCACGACTAAAAAACAAGCAAACAAATAGTTCTATTAGCTATTAAAAATTACCGTTAATACTATTGACATGGGGATTGAAGAGTAAGTTCTTATAATCGTTGTGAATATTCTGCCTTCCAACCGCACTCCCAGACAATTTCAGCCATGTACCATTAACCAAGAACCACTTAGGTATCCAAGCATGTGAAAATACATTCAGAACCCACATTGTGTTCATAGAATATGTTTCCAGCTATGCCTTTTTTAGGCATAATTCTTGGTACAGATGAGATAGGAAGCTGGAGGTGTTTCCTACTTAGAAAAGCCACTGAAAAGAAAAAAAAAAACTTTCAAAAGAAGTCTTAAGGACTTTTTAATTGTCTTGTGGTGACCACTGACCAGAGGAACAGACTAGTCCAGGCCTCTGGGCCTAGGCTGCTCTCTTGAACCTCCAAATTGCCCCTCGTCAGAACTCGTGTTCCTGGGCCGCACTGCAGTTCAGAAGTCACGGCCCGGCCTCGCCTACTAGGTCATTTTCTAGTGGGGCAGGTTGTAGTGAGAGGGCTGGGAAAGCAAGGCCCTTCTTACCAGCTGCAGCTAAGGAGGACGCTGAAGGCTGCACGGGAGAAATGAGGCGGCACTGTCTCCCAGGGCTCGAGACAGTCAAGTGGGAGCAGGTATGAAACTAATAATAGAGTCATTTATCCCTCAGCTGATGAATCTTACTGTCTTATATTACAGTTGTTTTTTAATCTGTCCCATCTTTTCAAGTGCATTTTAAGCTCTCAAAGTTAGGGACTTGTTAAATGCTGTGTTGTGTTCCACTTACTGTCTTGATCATACTAGGTGCTCAATAACTAGTCTTTGCTGGATTAATTGAGAAAAAGAAAAGAAAGCCATATTTTGTTAGTTTAATCTCTTCTATTTTATGAATTCCATCTGCTGTACGAATGTACCAGACTGGAGACTAGAGGCAGGATTGGGGATTTTGTTGGAATTTACAATGTGTTGAGTCTTACTGAGTCTGTCTGTTGCTGCATTCCCATTTTCCCTTGCCAATGTGGTAGACAGCTAAAGGAAACTCATCAATCAGCGGTTACAAAGGCTTCTGGTGCTATGGCTGGGTCTGTAAGGAAGCTTAGCACAACAGAGAGGAACAGAGCAAGTTGTGCCACCCCAGAGGCAGTCCACTGTGGCGGCAAGAGGCCTGGGCTTGGAGCCAGGGGCTTGGGGTCTGAACCGTGGCCCTGTCCTTCACAGGCTGGGTATCTTCAGACAAGTCTCAACCTGGCCCAAGTTTCCACATCTGTGAAATGGGAAGTATAATAGTGCCTCTTTGCTTTTGGGTGGGTTAGATGTGATTCATTAATTCTTCAGTAATTATTTATTGAATACCTACAGGCACTATTTTAGGCATTAGCAATCCAACAGCAAAACGCATGAAAATCCTACCCTCATGGAATTTATATTCTAGAGATATAATACACATAATGGCATTTAATAAATGTTTCATTCAATTAGTTTGAGGATATCTGAAGAACTCACACAATGGGTTTTTACTGTAATATATCCATAGGTATTTATGTTACAATTGTAGGTAATTAGGGCGATTATTGGACCTCATGTCTGAACTGAGGATGTCCCACTAAGTAGGACATTTATGCGTCCCCTATGTTTAGAAAGTCTGTTCCCTGGGAATTGGATTGCTGTCATTTTCCTCTCCATAAAGTTCTCAGGCCAAACAATCCAGCAGGCACCTGAGGCCCAGGGGCTACAGGTGGTGTTGTGGCCAGGTGGTTTCCAGGTTGTTTTCTCAGTCATGGGTGTCTGCACTGTCCCTGACTTAAGGTGATTTTACAGAGTTGCTGAGATATTTGTTTGTATAATTTGTGGAAATAAGTCAAAGGGCTAGCATGACCAATTCTAATCCACAAGCTATATTTTAGTGAGTAATTTTAACCTTTCCTCTCCCAACTTTTGATCAGCTACCCATCAGAGAACAAAATGACAGATTTCAGTTTTCAGTTCCTCACTTTTTCATTGCCTTCCCTCTGGGGCTTTTTCTTTGAGCATCAAAATGCCCAAAATCTGTGAAGAGAAAGAGCAGGCCTGGAAAGCAAACCTCAGAGGAACTGCACGTTGCCCGTAATCACATGCCCTCTCCTGAGACTTGTGTGTCCAGACCCGTCCTCCATCCGCTATCATTTTTCTAATGCAGTACTTCTGGTCTCCAGTGACACATCGTCCATTTAGTTAAAAATGTAAACAGGAAATTGTTTTCTGGCTGAATGGCCTGTGTGGCCCAGAAAAAATGGTCATTTTTGCTGAGACACAACTTTAAAAACATGCACACAGCAGTGGAAGCTGACGGCAGATTATAAGCTAGCCCTGCCCCAGACAGAGGCTGGTGATAGGAAATGAGTGAGAACTCAAGTACGTGGGTTCAGGACATTTTTCCCCGAAGCCTGAAGGCACAATGGACGTGACTGAAGAAGCTCCTATCACCTAGAAAGCAGTTGTTCCACAGAGCAAAGAGACACGTTAATGCTCCGAGGAATTACAGAACAGGCATTACTTGGAAGACACTGAGGTTTGGTCTGGAGAAATGTGACTTGGCACTGACAACACATCCTGGGTTTCAGTGCTCCTGTAGTCTGCTCCAGCTCCCTGTCATTTGGCCTCCCATGAACCTCCTGTGCTCCCGCTGTGGTTTCCCTTTGTGCTGACAAGTTTTCTGGTTGTTATGTCTTGCAGCCCCCCGAATCCAAGCCCAACTTCACCCCTCTCGCCATCTTGGCCCATGTTCTCGGCGCCATCCAGCCCTATGCCCACCTCATCCACGTCCAGCGACTCATCCCCCATCAGGTCTGTTGCAGGGTTTGTTTGGTTTTCTGTTGCTGCCGTTGTTCTCTCATTGGCTTGGTCCTCTTTTCATGCAGTGTTCAGCCTCCTCGTCAACTTTGTTCCCTGCCATCCAAACCTGCACTTGCTTTTTGACAGGCCAGAAGAACTGGTTCGTGAAGACTCCAGGTAAAATCACGGATGATGACCAGTCCGTTCCCGTTTCTCCAAAGCCGGTCAGGGATGACGGGGGGCCAGCCTCTGTCCTCCTTTGATTCCAGCCTAAGAGACCAAAGCCGGGAGGGACCATTTGCATGAACAAGCATGGCATTTTCCACACCCTTCTGAACCCTTCCTCTGGTTTCTGAATTAATCTGTGATGCCTGGAGTTTGGGGAAAGAATGCCTCCTGAATGGGCTCCTTTTTGGATCGCTCTCTGAATCATGGGGCTCTCTGTGCTTTGGTGTAAGATAATATCAGAGGGAACAGTGCTGAGACACCTACTGGCCTTTTCTTCCCTCTTTTTGGTCAGGTAGCATCAGGCAACATTTATTTGTGGATTGGGCTATCAGCCATGAGCACTGACACCTACTTGCTAAGACCAGACCACTGGGAGAGAGACAGATAAAGGATCAAGATATGGAGCGATTTCTCTTTAAATTGTTCCTGACTACCTCCTTGCCCTCTGTGTGCTCCCAGGAATCATCTGTGCTCCCAGTTCGTTTCTATCTCCATGTCATGAACCCTTAGCTCTCATGGGAACAGGGTTGACCTAGTTTCTCTCCCCAAGGGCTGTGCTATAGTTTTCCCTGCTTTGATGACATCCAGACTTAATTCTTTGCACTTGAGCTCTTTAGAGAAAAGAAGCTGTTTAAATCCAGGAAAAGAATTAATAAAGATCCTGCAGGATCCCTCTGCTGTGTAGGTCCCCTGCATGTGTGTCTCTGCTGTCAAACAACCAGAATGTAGAGCCCAATTATAGGCATCATAAGCATTTTGGGCCTTGGCAGTAATTTCTTGTGCATCTTTTTCCCATAGCTTGTTTTTTCCTAAGGGGTGAGTCCAGCAGAGAGGCTTAAATAATTTATAACGCTGTTATTATACTTTTAAAAAAAGAAAGTCCCATGCTATTTATATGTAAATACACACACACACACACACACACACACACACACACACATACATACATACATACATACATTACTTTGTTCTCCTCCAGGCGCTTTCATATCTTTCATTTCATCCTTTCCTCATGTGAGAATGAGAGGAGAAATGGCCTGAACTCTATTATAGGGAAAGAAAACTAAGGCACAGAGGGGTGATTTGTACACAGTCACATGATCAAATGAGAGCCAATCCAGAATTCAGGACTTCTTGCCCTCAGCCCTGTGCTCTTTCCTCCAAACCTATGGGTAACCCCAAATTTAAGTTTCCATGCAATTCCCAGCCTCAAAGCTTGGCCTGCTCTTCTAGGTTTTCTGTCTAGCTTTGCCCTAGAAGATGGGAAATATAGCTTTACAGTATATCCTTTTATCCTCACCCTGGGAATAAGGTAAAAATTCAGATCATGTTTTCTTGACACTCAAGTTATTTATGAATTATTTCTTAGACATATTCTGGGCTCTTTGGGGGATGTTAACTTTCTAGAATACCAGCTATGGCATGAATTGTTGTGGTAGGATCACTGATGGCCCCAAGAAGACCTGAACCAGAGCAAACTACAGTGACCAGAGACAGTCACCTTCCAAAATGCCTCACACATTCATAAGAGAGACTTGGGCATTGGGAGAATACGGCTCCTTCATTTTGATCAAAGGGAGTAAAATCTCCAAAACACTGGACCCTTGGACAGAACCGGGTAGGGCCTCAAGGCAGTAGAATCATTCAGCTGAAAAACTGAAATGTACCCTCTGCTTGAGGGTATTCACTCTTTTTTGTCTCTGAGCTTTGAGGCCCTGTTGCCTGTCCAATATCTCCACCTCTCTACTTCTCCACTTCTTCCATCTCCCAAGATATTTCCAGGTTTTTTTCTCTAGCTTCTCCTTTCCATCTCCCAAAATGTTTCCAGATTGACAAAGGACAGTGGCAATACAATCTGCTCACCTCAGGTCTTGGTTACTCAGTACTGCCCACTCTGACCATCATTAAAATAGCACCATTTGACAATGCTGTTCTACAATCCTTTAGGAACCTACCATTTTGAAATAGGCAAGGCAGAGTAAGGCTTGGAATTGGCTGTCACTGAGCTAAATATGTGTGCCAAGGTGAGCAAGGATAGGGACGCTGCTGGGGAGCTAGCGCATCAGAGCTAGCCAACAGAGAGGGCCACAATCCCCTAACCCCTGTTGCAATGTGGCCCCAAGAGGTGGGGGCATATACCCTTTATTCAGGTTCAGTGAGGCCTTCCCCCACATCCAGTTCCAGGACATAAAGCTTCAGATTTCTTTCCCTGGCCAGAGCTTTTCAAAATAAATACTTAATTAGACCTAATTAATGGCCCCATGAACTTCTACATCACGTCTCCTCTGGAAATGGCTTCCTCTCCCCTCTTCAAAGTAATTCTTGTTAGTTCAAGCTCAGGAACTAAGATGCCTTTCACAGCACAGAGAGTGAAGGTCCTAGAGGAGCATTCCCTTCACATTTCCCTTTCCTTTCACTTGTAAAAGTGAAAAGCTGCCAGCCCCAAACCCGTAACTTGTATTTGCACGGGGGCCCCTGGAAAGTGTGCCTATATGATCCAGCCGTTGCACTCTGCCAGTCTAGCTGGCCCCACCTCCCTGTGGTGCCGTACAATGGAGAGTGGGTTGTCATTTTGCAAGGCTTGCAAGGGCATTTGAGGGAAACTCCTCTGAGTGCTTTCCTGGCCTCGTGCCATGCTCAGAGGCGAAAATTAAAAATGAACTAGCAGAAGGTTCCAAACTTGTTCGTGCCCTTGAAGGCCCAGCTGAGGTCTGAAGGGCACTGTCACAGGAGCAGCCAAGGAGCACCCTAGGCTCTCTGTGTCTAGTGTTGAGAGGCACTGCAAAGAAGTGGGAGCCAGGGAGCCAAAGAACCAAAGATTCTTGCTGGGGATTTTTTATTTTTTTAATCAGAGCCAAAGCCTGCAAATATAACCTCTGTGCCAACAGGATCTGTTTTGGTAGGAACCCTACCTAAAGCAAACTGCTCAAGGTTTTTGAGAGGGAGTTTGGCATGGGACACTGGACTGGTTGGCTGACAGACTTAAAAAGATAAGACTTTCCCCTGAGTAAGGTTGCCAGATTTAGCAAATAAAATAAAGATACAGAACACCCAGTTAAATCTGAATTGTAGTTAAACAACAAATTGTTTTTTTAGTGTAAGTATGTCCCATGCAATATTTGGGACATACTCGTACGAAAAAAAGTATTCATCATTTATCTGAAATTCAAATTTAACTAGGTGTCGTGTATTTTACTTGGCAGCTCTAGTGCTAAGGAACAGGAGTGGTCCTTGTAAAAGCATCCCTCCACCATCCCTCCCATTTCTGGGCGTCCTAAGGGGACGGGTCCTCGGGAAAGGCGCTTCTCATAGCCTCAGTCACCTGACCTTTGTTTTTATTTTTAATGTGCCATTTTATTGTCTCTTCATTATTCAATTCCAAAAGCCTAATATTATTGGGAAATTATTCCTCTTGAATGGTAATCTTGGGCACCTGAGACCATTCCCTTTGCTTTCTTCTTGCCAGATACTCTAGTTGGTTTCCCTGGCTGGCCCCTGTTTTGTCCCATTCCCTTTATTTCATGCAGTTAATAAGTAACCCCTATGAAAATCCAGCTGGAGGAATCTTGCCTCAGATGGTCTTTCCCTCACCTCTTATTTCCCCGTCCCTGGTCTTTTTGCTCTCTACCCTCCTCAAGGTCCAGTGGCCCTGGCTAATGTTGACTGGATTCTCCTTCCACCTTCCATGTCATGACAGGCTGTCTTTGCCTGTTAGTAAGGAACTTTGGCTGTTTAAGTACTTTGCACAACCAGGTGGCTCCTCCTCTCTGCTCCCTACTCCCTCAAAAAAAAAAACTTTTTTTTTTCCTCTCTGGAAAGCTGCACATTGGATGTTTGGCCCTTGCTGGCCAACATGCAGACTTGGTTTACTTAGATCACAGAATGTGCCCCTTGCCCTGACCTTTATTCTGACTTTAAAATAATTAGACAGGAAGAGCTATTTTCCAGTTGGAGCTGATGAATCCTAAAGCTCTCTTCCCTTCATTCCCAGAGGACTCACTTCATTTTCTCCCACTTCCCCAATTTTCTCCCACCTGGCCATCATCTCTTGGCTACTAGAGGACCAGAGACAACAGTAAACTGCACCCTGGCGACAAATTCTGGATGATCATTTACTCTGGTCATCCTGACAAGAGACCTTTTAAGTCATCTTTTCTTGGTTTTCATGGAGCCACGACTGGATGTTTAAGATGACTGGCCTGGTGTAGGTGTCCATCCATCCATGGCTCCTCTTTCCCAAAGGGAAGCTGGACTTAGTGACTCCGAGAACAACAGTTGCATAATAACCCAAGACGCCCTGCCCCTTCTGATTCTGTCTGTTTACCTGAGACCAAGCCATTCTTCAGTTAAATCTCATTTGGCTACTGGAAATCAGTGCACCACAGGAGGTTTGGCGTCACTGGTTCCTTGAGGCTTTTAATTAGTCGAATGACGATAAAGTAAATAATATATATCCCTTGAATAACTGTCTAACCCAGAGGACCTACTTGTTCTTTTTTTTATTCTGTCCTTGAGTCCCTAAATGGGCTTCCTTGGATGGCTTGGAGGGAGAAGGGATTGCTTTTGGAAAATAAAGAGCCAAATTTTCACTATTAAATGTCAGTTTTCTTATGAGCCTTGACAAGTCCATAGATTGTTTGAAACTAGTTGACTACCAAAGCAAAAGTTGATAGAAGGTAAAAAAAAAAAAAAAAAGATAGAAAATAGGATTTACCAGTTCTTACAACTTACTGTCTGGAACACAGATTAGCAAACTGTGGCCCCTGGGTCAAATCCGGCCTACCACCTGTTTTTTGTAGATAAAGTTTGGATGGACACAGCCACGCCAATTCCGTTATGTGTTGACTGTGGCTGCTTTCATGCTGCAGTGCAGAGTTGAGCAATTGCGTCAGAGACCATATGGCCCACAAAGCCTAAAATATTTACTGTCTGGCCCTTTACAGAGTTTGCCAACCCCTGATTTAGAATGATGATTCTCAGCCCTGGTTGCATACTAGAATCACTTGAAGAGCTTTTTAAAAATGCTGATGCCTATATTTATATCTGCAAGTCGGGGTAGAACCCGGACATCTACGTTTTCTAAAAGTTCCCCAGGTGATTCTGATGCACAATGAGAGTGGTTGACAACACTCCTTGGATACGAGAAGGGAAGGAAAAATGCATTCTGACCCGCTCTCCCTTCTTCCTTCCCGCACTCCCCATACACGTTCACGTGTGCGCTCATGCACACGTGTTTAACTGCTCACACACACACACCTTGTCTATTCCCTGCCCTACCCTGGGGGTCGGGGAGTTCCAGCTCTGGAATCCTGCTCCACCAGCCCAATGAGAAATAAGTAACATCTGGAAGAGCTCATGTCAGCCCGTGGGTGAAGCCGAAACCTGACTTTGCTAGAATTTCTCCTTTTGACCCACTGAGCATTGCCGACTTTCAAGAGGGTCTGTTGGGAGTGTTCTCCAGAGCAACTTGGAAGTTCTTCCTGCCCCCACCCCCCTCCTCCCGAGCTACTCCTGCTCCACAAATGAGGCCCTGCCTGCCCTCCCAGTGTTCAGCCGTTGTAACTCCTAGAGAAAGTTTTAACGTGACACAAGGTGACCCCCAAGAAGTGTGGTTTCTCAGGGCTTATGGCTTTTCTCTGAATATTTCTCATTTTTCTCTGGTGACCTTTGCAACTTTTCCACTTCATGTTTTGCCATCTGGCTGCCTTGTCAGGCTCTTCCAACCAGAGAGGACAAGGTGATTTGCAGGAAAAGGGAAAGAAGAGAGATTAATATTTGGGGTTTTCAGAGGGTTTAAAACAATTGCTAAATAAACCTGTTTTCACACAGCACACCGTTCCGGAAGGCGAAAGCCTTGTATGCCTGCAAAGCTGAACATGACTCGGAACTCTCATTCACAGCAGGCACGGTCTTCGATAATGGTGAGTTTCTCATCCCCTCGCAAAGATTTGGGGGGGAAAAGCAAATAAATAACTGGCGTTTTTCAAAGTTCCTACCTAAGGAAAAATCTCAGTAGAACAGGTAAGACTGAAAAGGAGCTGAGGTGTGTCTTTTCCCAAAATTAGAGAGCAGCAGTGGGACTTCAGTGGCACTGTCAAGAGGAGACGGGGGTATCAGCTCTTCACTCTGACCGAGGGAGTCTCATCGAGGAGTTGTAGACATTAAATGCCATTGTACCTGCACAGGACTCAGCCCCGCACCTGGCAGTGGCTTTGCGAGTCTGGAGGCTGGACAGAGGGTAGGAGATAAAGGAGTAGAGAACGAGGATCCTGCCGGTGGTCAGACAGTCAGGGCAGAGATTGAGGCCACAGATTCTGGGACCCCTTCCTCTTGGGTTTGGTGGCATTCATTATCTACAGCAGGTGAAGCCACTTTCCGAGATGGCAGGGTATTGGGCAAGCTCCAGGCCGATAAACCTCACTGTGCCCCTGCTCGTCCTCCCCCTAACTGTTGGGAGCATAGTTTTCTTGTTCCTTTTTGTTTGTTTTCCTCCCTAAATTTAAAAAAAAAAAAGTATTGTTTTTTAGAGTGAGAACTCATGTCATAATTTGTCATAACTTATCATTGACCTAAGAGAAAAATCAGAATTCTGGGGAAAAGCCCAAGTTTCTGTTACCGCTAAGATTTTCCCCAGATGAAGTTCTCCTTTGGGGATACTCTTTCTGGATCCCTGGGTGAAAGGGTCTGTTTTTTTTGCTCAAAGCAAAAGCAGCCGCCCGATTTCTGGAACTGGACATTTTCTCTGGCTCAGTTCTTGACCTCAGGTGGGTTGGGGGCAAAGTCCCCAGAAAGAGGTGAGTGTGCACTGCCCAGTCGCTCCCCATCAAGGCCGGGCAGCCCCATCTTGCCCTAGACCCCGCCTCCTACTGCCTGCCTGAGACCCAGAAATACAGGGCAGCCAAGGCTCCACACAGCACTGGGAGAGTGTAAGTCTAGATTCAGGCCACCAAAGTAAGGGTTCTGGCTTGGCCACTTGCTCCTGTGTAACCTCAAGCAGTCACTTAATTTCTCTGTGCCTCCCCCATCATATAAAGATAACATTACCTACCTTATAGGGCTCATGAGAGAAAATTGAGATAACATACATCACGTATTTAAAATAGTACTCAACACCTTAAGCAGTCAATATTCTGTTATCGTTATTATTGTTATGATCATCGTCATCGTTAGGTCTGTCTTAGAAAAAGACCCTGACACTCTCATAGTTCACAGTAACAGTTTCCCCTTCAGCTGATATGCCCCAGGCGTGGCTCTCGGCTGGGCAGTAGGTGCTGTACCTTGACCTCCTGGGTGGGTCCTGGCTATCCATAAGGGCCTCGAGGTCCAAGCCAGAACAGAGCTGGGCTCCTGGAGACCAGCCTTGACTGCATCCACGTGCAAAGGGGCATCCCTGTGTGCCCAGCCCCTGCATTCAGCGTGGCAGAGATGTTAACCAGGCCTGAGTGGACAGAATGGGAAAGAGATCACAGAGCACCTGGCAGATTCCCAGGTCACACTTGGCACTGGGCCTTCTGAGCCAGTGGAGTGGGGTGAGCCCATAACTGCATGTGGCCTGCTGGGCCCGCATTCTCTCTGATGGTTCTCAGGGCCCAAAGCACTGTCCTTAAACCTTTGCCCCTTTTACTTTTATTCGGGCCCTTTACAAACCAAGGCGCAAGCCAGCCAGCTTCCTCTTCTCTGTCAGCAGCTGGAGCTTTCAGACCCCAGCGGACCTGCAGGTGAAGTGGGTCCCCTGAAGGCTATCCAAAACCATGTCACTGGCGAGTATCCCTGCACAGGCCCAGGTGGGAGAGTCATAGCCCAGCCATAACATGACACAATTTTCATGGCAGACAAACAGGAATGCGCTGCCTGCAGGGGCTTCTGTATCCCACTCTGTCAGCAGAGACAGGCTTCTGCCTACAGATGAGCAGGATTTGAGAGATCCCCACATATACAGGTGAATCCAGAGTCTAAAGGTCTGTCCTCTAAACCCCAATTCACTGCTCACATGGGCAAGGGACTGCCATGTTCCTATCAGCTATTCACTCTGACAACATAAAGGACCTCTCATCCCAGGGGCAGAATTAGTTTAAGCTCTCAAAAGGTATATGTGTGCATGTGTGTCTTGTTTGTGACTCTTTTTCTTGAGTGCAGCCTTCCATTTTTTTTTAACAGCTTTATTAAGATATCCACATGCTATACAATTTACCCATTTAAACTATACAATTCAGTAGGTTTTAGTATATTCAAAGTTGTGCAACCGTTGCCACTATCTAATTCCAGAATATATTCATCGCCCCCAAAAGAAATCCTGTACCCTTCAGCAGTCATGCCCCATTTACCCCAACCCTCCTTCATCCAACCCTAGGCAACCACTAAGCTAATTCCTGCCTCTCTAAATTTGCCTGCCCTAGATATTTCATGTAAGTGGAATTATACAGCGTGTGGTCTTTATAACTGGCTTCTTTCATAATATTTTCAGGATTCATGTTGTGTCATGTATCGAACTTCATTCCTTTTTATGGCTGAATACTATTCTGTCATGTGGGTATACCACACTTATCCATTCATCAGTTGATGGACATTTGACTGTTTCCATTTTTTGGCTTTTATGAGTAATGCTGCTATAAACATTCGTCTACAAGTTTTTGTGAGATCTTATGTTTTCAGTTCTCTTGGCGACATACCCAGGAGTGGGGTTGCTGGGTGATACAGTAACTCTGCCTTTAGTTGTTTAAGGAACTGCCAAACTGTTTTACAAAGGGTTTGCACTATTTTATATTCCCACCATCTTCTAAGTCTCCTTTTTTCTTTTTTTTTCTTGAGGAAGATTAGCCCTGAGCTAACTACTGCCAATCCTCCTCCTTTTGCTGAGGAAGACTGGCCCTGAGCTAACATCCGTGCCCATCTTTCTCTACTTTCTATGTGGGACGCCTACCACAGCATGGCGTGCCAAGCGGTGCCATGTCCGCACCCGGGATCCGAACTGGCGAACCCCAGGCCGCCGAGGAGCAGAACGTGCGAACTTAACCGCTGCACCACCGGGCCGGCCCATAAGTCTCCTTTTTGAAGTAGCTAACCAAAATAAGAAAAGAAAAGATACATGGGTGATTTTTACCTGCCGAGTCCTTTCTTTCCCAGCAGGCTGCTGTGCCTAGCAGGTTCTATGACTACGCCCACCCCACAATTTGATAATCGTCATAAATCCTATCATGATAAATGAGAGCAGGAGAGAGGTTTGGTTTAACGAGTCAGAAGCCTTATGCGAGCCTTCCTGTGGTCTCTGGGAATCAAGGCAGAGTTCATTGACACTAGTTTATTTTTAACCAGCAATGCCAGTGACCTTTCAAATTCCCTGAAGAGCAAAAGACCAAATTAAACCCCAAAGAAAACAATTCTCAGTGTTGACTGAGCTGCAGTCGAAGAAAGATCTGACAAAATGTTAAAACACTTTTTAGATTGGTTTGGCTGATAATGTCTTATGAGGTCTGAGTTTTAGAAAGTATCAGGCATTCTTCTAACACCTTAGGTAGGGAGATCTTTTTCCTTGTTCTGTGTCTTGTTAGTTTCTTGCTGTAGATTCTAGGTAAGTGCTATTTAAGTTGAATGCTCTGTAGCTGCCAGATTAAATCATCAGACCAATCAGAAGAGTCTCCTTATGACAGAGAGTGAGTGAGTGTGAGTGTATGTGTGTGTGTGTGTTTTCTTTTTCAGGATCAGGAAGAATGACTAAGGAGGAGGAAGAGGGAGGGATGCCTTGAGGGGAAAGTCTGTTGTTTCGTAATGATTAATTTCCAAGCCTTTGGGTTCCAGGGGCCCATGCTATGAATCCGGAGTGGCTGCTCCGTCAGCTTTCGGACTTTGTGCAGTGGGGAATGGATGTGCAATACTTGGAACTAACTCTAGTGTCAGCCCTTGCCAGTCTACTAGGAAACTGTCCACTTCACCAAGAGCGCCTCAAAGAGTAACTGGAAAGAGAAATAACTCATGTTCTCAGGAACATTACAGTCATCTTGAAGCCACACGATTAGTGATACCTGGAAAATTCTCTAAGATTGGGTTCTTGGGATACTTTCATCAAGGTTTGGGATGAGCTGGATCCATTCATTTCTGGGGTACAGGGTGCAGCGTGAGAGCAAGGCAGGGCTGCCCCAGGTTTCTTTGCTGACAGAGAACATCTCAGGCAGTGGGGCTATGGGAGTGTCCTCGGTGGAGTCTTTCAGCCTCCCCAGCCATGTTTATTGCCAAACCCAGGCTACCTCCATCCCTCACCTGGGCATCTCCACCAGCTGCCCAACCAGTCTCATCATGTCCAGTCTTGCCCCCCATAATCCCTTCTTTACACAGCAGCCAGAGTGGTCTTTGAAAAACAAAAATCACAACATGTTATTCTCCTGCTTCAAAAACTCCAGTGGCCTCCGTTGTTCCCAGTATTATTGACGAGGACCTCCACAGTCCGGCTCCTGCCCCTTTGGCCCCCATCTCACCCTCCCCCGATATACTGCAGCTTCACAGGCCTTCTTTATGTTCTCAGATAGGGTCGGCAACCCCTGGCCTGCAGGTCAAACCCAGCCCACTGCCCGTTTTTGTAAATAAAACTTCATTGGAACAGGGCCACCCACGCCTTCTTGTTTATATACCATCTATGACACTACAATGGCAGAGTTACACACATTTACAATCTGGCTCTTTAAGAAAAATTTTCAAACCACTGTTAAATCACACCAAGCTTTCCCCATCTCAGGGCCTCTGCACTTCTGTTCCCCACTGCGTGTCTGGCTCCTTTGGGTCGTTTAGATTTGAGGTTTTTGAGCTCCTTCCCACCCACTCACATCCCTCTCCCAGTCTTTTTCTCTCCCCTCATCGCTACCTAAAATTATATGCTTGTTTATTATAGATTGTCCCTCCCCGGGAGCAGAATCTTGTCTGCTTGCTCTGTACTGTGTGTAGGGACCTAGCACAGTGTCTAGCACATGGTAGGGGCTTAATAAACGTTTGTTAAATGAGTAAAGGCATTCAACTAACCAGGGGTCTGTGCCCCTTCCAGCCAGTGCTTCTTCCCCTGGGGGCAGCAAGCCATTAGAGATCTTAGTCACCCACTTGCTCCTTGTCCACAGTGAGCGAAGGAGGGGAGAGAGCATGAGTTGTGCTTGCAGGGGTGTATGATGTATGTATGGATAGAGCTGAGAGAAAGTAGTTGGCAGGAAGCACACCCGTGTCAGCAACAGCTTATATTTATCATATGCTTGCTGGGCTAGAGAGCTGCCCAGGCAGCTCGCCGCAACACCTTGTGTGTTTATATAACACATTGGACACTCGTCCAATTCAGAAAGTTGGAGATTGGCACAATTCAGCCCAACAGGCACTTATGAGCATCTTCAATGTCCAGAACATTGGGCTAGGCAAAAGTGGTAATGGTTAAGACCACAGACCCTGGGATCAGATGTCCTGGGTTCAGATCTACCTCCATCGTCTACCAGCTATATAGTGTTGGGCAAGATGCTTAACATCTCTGAGCCTCAGTTTCTCAAGAGTAAAATGAGGATAATAGCAGAACTAACTCCATAGTGATTCTGAAGGTGAATGGAGGTGATGCAGGTGAAGCTTTTAGCAAAGGGCCTGCCGCTTAGTATGTGCTCAACATATGTATCAGCATTCCTATCCTCAAGGACCACATTCTCCAGTTGAATAGAGGCATAATGTAGTGGAAAAGGGCTTGGTCTCTGGAGTCAAACAAGTTGGATTCAAATTCTAGTTTTACCATTGTGACCCTGCACAAATTAATTTACCTCTCTGAGCCTTAATTTTCTCATCTATAAAATAGGGATAATAATAGCACAAGCTAGGGTCTTTAGGATCAAATGAGTCAATATGTATCAAAGCTCTGAGACCACGGCTGCTTCCCAGGCACCATTTCTAGTTGTTAGCTTCTGTCTTTATAATTCACCAGACAGAGAGGAATCATTGAAGAATGTTGAGTGATAGAATACAAATTAAAATGCACTGGAAACTAGTTAGAGAAGCAAAGCTTAACACACTTGAACAGCATTGATAGGACCCGTGAATAATATGTGGAATGTACTGTGGGCCTTCCGGGAGTGTGGAGCAGGAAGATGGGATTCTGTGATGGTATTTATGAAGGAGGTGGGGCTTCAGCCAAGCCTTCAAGTGTGGGTACAGGAAACAGAGGACAACAGAAAGAAGGCAGGCATCTGGTGCTGCCTCTCTCCTCCATTAGTTAATGAGAATTTGCATTTTAATTCTTATTACCACCCTCATTGCAGAGGCATTTTGGCACAGAAAAGTTATAACTCAACTTTCTGTGAACAAGTTAAAATACAGACCCTGGGCCAGCTCTTGGAGAGTCTGCTTTAACTGATGTGCTCTGGGGCCCAGGCATCTACAGTTTTAATAAGCATCCAGGCGAGTCTATGCACGTGGTCTGGTATCACGCCTTACTAAAGCCTGATGAAGACTCCAGGGAGTCAGCAGTCTGACCCAAAGCCTGCGTGGTCCCCTGCCATCCCCTGTGACATAGCTCTTGTTCTCCAGTTCAGCATGTCTCCTTTGTCCCCTCTGATTCTTCCCTTACTCTGCAAATTCCATTTCTAATGTTTGCAGAAGTTACCACCTCAGCACCCAAGCTGTGTTTGAACAGCTGACCAGGAAGGGAGAATGTCTGAAAGAGATGGACTCAATGCATCTATTGGAGTCACGACTCTGCTAGGAGCTTTGCTATAAAGTGGGAGGGGTCTTTTTCTGTTTCTTATTTTGTTTGGTTGGTTGGTTATTCTTTCTAGGTCTTTTATTTTGGGCAGTGAGTTTGATTTGTTTGTTTTTGGTTCTGAACATTTGAGATTTCCCAAAACTTAGGTGGATGTTAAGACCAGGCCCTTACCCAGGTTTTAACCAGAGGAGAGTCTTGCTGACCAGTCCAAGTGACTGGTCAAATGATGCAGGGTGCCCTACTGACTATCTATCCCGTACTGAGCATTTACTGTGTCCTGGCTCTGTGCTGAGTGCTGCCTCCTTTACCCTCACAAGAATCCACTGATGGAGAGTTTTGTTATCACTACTTCATAGGTACAGAAACTGAAGTGATCTTGACAGCATCCACAGGATAGATGGGGCAGAAGGCCAGAGGTATTTGGATGCTAGTACCTTAGGGGCAAGATGGGAGATCTTGGGGGTCAGCCTAGTGGCGTAGTGGTTAAGTGTGCTCTGCTTTGGCAGCCCTACTCCGCAGGTTCAGATCCCAGGCGCGGACCTAACACCACTTGTCAAGCCATCCTGTGGCAGCATCCCACATAAAATAGAGGAAGATTGGCAAAGATGTTAGCTTAGCAACAATCTTCCTCAAGCAAAAAGAGCAAGATTGGCAATAGATGTTAGCTCAGGGCCAATCTTCCTAACAACAAAAACAAATGATGAGAGATCTTGGTCATGGGGGGTTATGGGGAAGGGCAGGTTGCTTTTAAGTTGTGCTGTGTTCTTCCATGGAACTTCTCTCTCAGACTCCTCGTTTGGGTGTCCTAAATCCAAAGGATCTTTGCTACTTTGGGTTTATTCCTGAAGCCTAGTGATAGAAAATTATACAAGCATTTTGGAGGCTGACTATTAGATGTTTGACCTTGTCTTTTCCTAAAGAAGCATTCAAGATCTCGAGAAGTTTGACACTGATCTTCTGTAAGCCTCCATGTGTGTCCTTGTGCAGCTTTGCCATTTGCTTCCTTTGGTTTCTGTTCTTGCTTCTTTCCCTACAAAGTGAAACTAGAGTTGCATAGTAGTATTGGGGGCGGAAATGCTTTTCTAAAACAAGCTCCGGAAGTCACTTAATTAGCCTAGGAAGGAAATAGGGGGAAATTCCTTCTCTCCAAACAATCCCAGAAAATTGGAGTTTTCCTAATACATTGAGAGCAAACGCCCTGCCTCACCCATGAGTGATTCATATCTTCCCAGTTCACAGCACAGTGACCCCCATCCCCAAGCTCCGTGCCTCCTTCTCTTCCCTCCTGCTATCGACTACTTCGCAGACTCAGCTGGATTTTACATAATCTTTACAAATCACAGCAGTTTCCATGGAGATGGATTGTGATGTCACAGAGTGGGTGTATATTCTTTGGATATTGAAAAATCATAAGGTCAGAAATTTTGAAAGTTGTGATAGAGGAAGAGGACAGCTTTTACACTTATATAAGAGGAAGGAAAATTCTAGAAAACAGGAAAGAAAGCTAAGAAAGATTATGGGTGGAACAGAGAGAGGGCTATTCAAGGGCTGTAAAAAAAAAAACGCAGAGGGAATTTGCAAGGAAATTAGAAGCAGAGGGTAAGGATTTGAAGTAAAATGCTTATTTAAGAGCTGGATATCTTTGAAGACTAGTTCTTAGCAGTCCTCCATGGGCACTCCACTTGGTACATGGTCAGTACTGTGTGGGTGGATGAATGGATGGATGGATGGATAGATACATACATGGATACACATAGATAAATATATGAATGGAGCACCATAACTGTGACCTCGAACCTAAAAAGTAGAAATCTGTCACTTCTTTATAGTTTAAACCAGGAACTTCAGAAAGTCCATGAAACTCCTAAAAATGTATGCAAACTTTTGAATATCTGTGTCTGTTTTCCTTTTTGTTGTGAAGAATGTTCAGAATAGCCTTCTTCAGAAGGCTTATGTCCCACAAAAGGTTAAGAACCTCTGGTTTAGATAAGTCCTAGAATTATGTGACTTGATGAGTGGCTGCACTCATTCTCGAATCCTCCTTCACGCATAACACAGCACACACAGCACACACCCACCTCCTGCCTTATCTGTAACATGATCTCTTCTCACTCTCCCCTTTCTCTACAGTGCATCCATCTCAGGAGCCTGGCTGGTTGGAGGGGACTCTAAACGGAAAGACTGGACTCATCCCTGAGAACTACGTGGAGTTCCTCTAACCGTGGGCCCCAGCAGAGCTGCTGAGCTTTCCGGGGTATCCATGACAACTGCTGAGTCCAGAGTTGTAGGCCATTTCTCTTTGCCACTGAGAAATGCAGGGTGACTGACTCTGCTGCTACCTGTCAACATGAATGTTTCTGTGAACTCTGGTGTCAGCCATCCCCATGATCATCTCAGCTGACGTGTGGTGGCACTACAAGAAACAGAAGTAAATCAGCAGTGGAGGCCATTTGATTTTGATTAACCGAGAGAAAGGCTTGCAAAGCCATTTCTCTCATTTAGCACCCAAATAGGGAGGGCTCATTTTGTTTCAACAGTCATCCAAACCCCCAACCTTCTGAAAAAGGAGGGAAGTAAGATATAAGTAGTTTCCAAGAGCCTGCAGTGTAGCTGAGTCGGACAGGCCTGGGCAGGGGCTCTGAGATCCAGGCTGCGTCCATTGCTTTTGTTTACAGTAGACACTCTCTCGACTCCACCTCTGAAGACTTGAGACCCACAGTGCTACAGGCAGCTGGGTCTGTTTGTTTGCATGCAGGATGGAGAGGGGTTACGGCTCCGTTTACAGAAGACCCAATCTCTCACCATCTCTAAAGCAGCCGTTGGCCCAGCGTCAGCAGAATTCAGTCCAGTCCTGTCATGCAAGGGAACACACACACCCCATGTTCCCCCCTCCCGAGCTAGGCACTTCTCTGCCACTGAGGGCTGCCATCACCTTGTAACCACAGCAACCCAGCCTACTCTAAAACCAAACCAAAAAAATAACACACTCTCTTTGCGTGACATATTTTTTTCTCCCCCCATTTTGGTAGTTTTTTGAATGGTGTTCCAACAACCTGAAGCAGAAAATCAAGGAATCAGAATGGTCTACTCGGGGCAGACAGAATAGCAGCTGGGAACTGCTCCCTTTCTGATGAATTTCAGCAGCATCAGGATATATTTGGAGCCAACTCTAGTAAGCTCTTGAGATTAAATGAAACAGGCTCAGTATTTCTGTTCTTCCATGCAACTAGTGTTTGCTTTCTAGAGGGCAATGTGCTGGCCCCCAACGGGTGACACCCTCCCTTTGACTCATTCCCTCATGACCTCCTGATCACCTGTCCCTCCCCCTGCCCTTCCTCCTCCAGCCCATCACTGACCAGCCCCCGGGCAGTTCCCTGGGCTGCTGAGCACTGGTGCCCTGGCAGTTTTCAGGGAAGATTCCTGGGCTAACCCTATGACCTGTAGTTTAACAGGACACGTATGTCCACTGCCACTCAGAAAAAGGGAATTGTTTCTCAGGCTTTTGAGGCATGAGACTAATGTCATAAGCCATTGTGATTCAGGAGGACACCAAAAGGTTGGGGCGTGGGAGGTGGGATGGGTACCTTCTAAAAGAATTTCCTGGTCCAGAAGCGGCTAGGTCTTGTGGAAGACTGCCTTGGGTGGGAAGTTCGGCCTGGACATTTCGGATACACTTGGCCTCCAAAGAACAGAGTCCCCAATATCTTCCACATTTGAATGTCCTCACAGGAGTGACTCTGGGCAGACAAACTCCAAACTGATGGACTGTCAAGCTCCCCAGGAGCCCCTCGGGATGGCAGCGTTGCTCCAGAGTGTTTCCTGCTTCTGGAATTCCTCTTTAGGGAAGTTTAAAGAAGAAAAGAAAAACTTGAATTGTGTTGAATTACTGTATCTTTTACTTTTTTTTTGAAAAGATAAACTTGTAAATAGAGTGATTTGAAATCCTATATGGCAAAGTTTTATATTTGATATTGTTTAAGCTAGTTGTTCCACACATTTAAGCTTTGATTGCTGAGCAAGTGTGAATAAGAGGGAGAGAGAGGAGGCAAGGTTGGAGAGAGTCAAGGTCGTCTCTTCTCTGGCCTTGAAGAAGGAGAAGATCTCTCTGCCTACACTCTGCTGGCTCTTGTTGGTGGGCATGCCACATCGATGGTGTTCAGTCTTCTTTATCCAGATGTGTGTTTGAGCATTTCTTGAGCTTTGGATTTGGAGATGGAAAGAGCATCTTCAGGCAATGAATTTTTTGAAGAACTCCTACTCAGTAGTAAGATGAAGCTCAGGATTTAAATAGGCAGGGCCAAGCGTTAGAGTTTTTTTCATTTTTCTTCTCAGGTGTATTTCTTGGTACCCCAAGATATCAGGACAAAAGGAGATGGGATCATTGTGTGCTCCTTATATCTAACTCTCCTGCACATCTTCTTAGGCTTTATAAATGAGGCCAAGCTAGCTTGCAAATATTGTGTGTGTCTAAGTTCTAAGAAAAACTGGCTTCTTACCATCTTCAGTTCTCAATATGCTGCTGCCTCCCCTTTCCCTTCACATGTTTGTGCCCTTCCTGTCATCTCAGATTTCCCAGTACCCCAAAGAGGGATGGAGATTGTGCTGTTATAACTTTATAGATGGTTTTAAAGTTAATAGGAGTTGTCGTTGTAATTCAGTTCGTCAGCTCGAGGATTACACAGCTCTTATTCAGGAGCTCACCCTTCAGCAAGCAAGACACTACCACTGAATCAGGGAACAAGGATTAAGACTGGACAAGAACAAGACAGGACTCAGGAGAGTTGTCATTGAAAACCCAAGAAGGGAGCATCCAGACAGGCTATACCTACTCCCGCGGACTTTCAACAGCTTGGGGTCCTGTTCAAAAGGGCCTGAGGGGACAAGCACACTCTCTACTACTGTGCTTCCCAAATAGAAAGTTTGCAGCTTAATGTTGTTAACACATTTGATGTTTTAAATTGTCACCTGCCCTGTTGGAACATTAACTAGAGCTGCCGTGGAGGGGCAGAAGGCCCCTGGCTTTGGGAGTTCCTCGCTGAAGCATACCTGTGGACGCTTGCCCCCAACTTGACCACTTGGAAACATGTCCCTCCCTCCCTCAGTTGGCGCTGATTTGAAGCCAGAGGGAAATGGAGCTGTTGCCAATGGGAATTTTTAGGCAGACCCCTTCTCAGCCTCCCTGTGGCCATGCTGGGCCTGTGACAGATGGCTGCTCTGTTTCCTTTCCCCAGCCAGGCTCACCTCCTCCCCATTTGCTACAGAACTGGAGAAACTGTTCAGAATATGAGCCAACAAATAGGAAGGAATTTGAAGACTAAAAAGCAATTTTACCATCTCCACCCCTGACTCTGCTTGAATAGAGAGTTTTAGCGCAGATTAGAAGAGTGAACTGGGAATAAGGAAGACTATTGACCAAGATCCCTGAGCTTTCCCAGGAGCCTCATGTTTCTTTTGTGAGGCCCTGGGGTCGGTTTGGCATACAGAGCCTGAATCTTTTTTGGGTATTCAGATCGATCTCTCACTCCTCCTCCAGGTACTCACAGAATTCCGTAGCTACAGAATGACATGCCACGAGATGATAACTAGTCTCAAATCTCTGCCCCAAGACAAGTCAATTCAACTTGCTCAAGACTGATAATATTCTCTTGTGTTTTCAGAAGTAAACATATAGGGTTGGACCCTGTACAGCACGCCTTCCTTGGTATCCTATCAGCGGAGCCAGTTTCTAGCTTAGTGTTTTAGTATTTCCACAGCCAATATGTGTTTTCTTCTGTCAGACCAAACTGTCTTTTTCAGTATAATTCCAGTTTATCCCTCTGGCTGAGTGCTTTTTGTACAGAGAGGCAAAGAGAGAGAGAAAATGAACAATCAAGTATTGGCAGACTGGACAAGCATTAGCAGGAGAGAGCCATACCTGTAGCTCAAAGGGAAGTCCTCCTGTCAACTGAGTTTGTATCTCTTGAAAGTCACCAAAAGCTCTGTCTTGACTACAGAGGCTCTAAAAGCCTTCATGACCAAGGGTTAGGGAGACAGAAATAATTGGCTAAAGATAACGTGATCAACTCCTCACGGCTGTCTGTTGGCACCTTTCATCCTCTGGCTTCTGTTTCCAAAAGTAAGTCTGGTCTACCCATTTTTATAGACACAGGACTCCCGGGTACAACAGTGGCCAACATGGCACCCAGTTTGCCCTAGTACTGAATGTTTTATGAGCAACTGTATTACCCAAGTAGGTAGCCAGCATTGAAGAAACCAAACAGCCTCTTTGCTACCTGACTTTAAAAGGAATGTCCTAGGTGTTCTGTCTCAGGAGTTATCTATCATCTCTTGCAAACTTGACAGTAATCAATTATCTAGACAACCCTGCCCCACATCTCTTTTAAGTCAACCAAGTGTCCTCTCACACATCCTGTGCTGGTGTTTAAAAAATTTGTCTTGTGCTCAAATGTGTTTGGCAGCCACGCTGTCTGCTGGGTGCTGAACCATTTCTCTGCAATTGTAGCATCAAAATGACAACAGCAGCAGAGCAATGAACCTTGCACGAGCCTACAGCATGTCTGAGACAAGACTCCAACAAGTAACAATTAGCTTTTTCCTTTTGCCGCCTTCAGTACTTGTCTAACTAAAGAGCTTCTCAAAGCAGGGAGAGAGGCCATATAGATTCTAAACATCATTCGCAGCCAGCCCTTGCTGAAATGTGGTCTTCCAATGGGAGCACTTGTATTCTTGGGAGAAGTATTGAATGTAAAGTAATGCTAGGAGCAGAGAGAGAGAAAGGTGAACCATCCTGAAGAACTTTGGAGTTTTTCTTAAGAGGAATCAATGTAGTTCTTAATAGGGGGGAAAATCTATCACAGAAAAAGTTCACAACTGATATTTTCACAAAAGTTTTCTAGGATACTACAAGATGGAGACATCTTTCAAGGTGGAATGCTTTAGGAAGCAAAGGCTTGGTGTAATCCTAGATCCATGTGAGAGTAGTAATTACTTTTATGACAAAATTCTCTTTAGTGTAGTCAGTGAGAACCAGAGTTTTGATAATCAAAACATCAGAATTACCTGGAGAGGGGCTGGCCCAGTGGTGCAGTGGTTAAGTGCGCACGTTCCGTTTCAGCTGCCTGGGGTTCACCAGTTCGGATCCCGGGTGCAGACATGGCACTGCTTGGCACGCCATGCATCCCACATATAAAGTAGAGGAGGATGGGCATGGATGTTAGCTCAGGGCCAGTCTTCCTCAGCAAAAAGAGGAGGATTGGCAGCAGTTAGCTCAGGGCTAATCTTCCTCAAAAAAAAAAAAAAAAGGATTACCTAGAGAGACCAAGACATTCTACATCATCCTACTTGACCATTTCTACAAAGTTGTCCAGACAGACGTCCTTTGGTATCAGATGCCAGAGTCAACCTTGATCTGTGAAAGGTCCATTGGATGATTCTGAAATCTCTACGTGTTAGTATGTGTTTGTGTTTGTGTACGAACAACGCACATTTACATCCGTAAAGATACAGACTCTTGTCTAGAAACCCACATAAGCTGGCAGTTGCTGAGCCTTTATGGCCTTTAACATTTGAAGGTTGAGAATTACCGAAAGAAGAGAGGCTGTTGGTTGTTGTCAAAATGATCAAAGATGTAAATTACGTGCCATTTTAAAACTTTGTTCATAGTTATCAAATGGTTACTATCTACAGCTATATTCCTTATTAACTTATTAAAAGTCATGTTGAAAAAAGATCAAACTCATAAACGTTTAGTAGCTAATACTAGGCTAGTGTTCAAAAGCACTTCTAAAAGACATTTTGTCCATATTTTGGAGAAGAAATTATTTGCATGTTTAATTCATGATTTAGGCTACCTTGGAGCATATTATAAAGTGCTGTGTGATAAAATATCAATAAAGTACTTTAAAAATGGCACTTTAATTTTTTTAAACCATAAATAATGCACTGTTTGAAACTTCAGTATTGAATATTGACTGGTGTGTAGAATCAATCTCGTCATTAGAAAGTAATTTGTGACTAGAATAGAACTTTTTCCCTGTCATTAGTTGAATGGTTTTGCCATGTTCAGCCTTTAAAAAAAAATCTGCTTTTGCGTCACTATGCATATCTATAAAGAATACAATTTCTGTTGAGTGGCCTCTGAAACTTGGCTTTCTTACATTTGGTTGGTTTATGTGACAATCCCTATGAAACGAGTGGAAGTATGATTTTTGAATTAAATGACTTTTCCATTTGGTGATATCTTTGTTTCTTGAGTTTCTGATAAAGTTTTGACATGGTGCATATTTTAACATTTCTTCAAATAGGCAAAGACCGTTATCAAAGGTCACAAGTCTGGACTCCTGCGGCAACTGGGGACGACTATATGCTGATTCCTGATGTCCTCTGAGGAACTCTGGTTTCTCTTAGGGAAGTCAGATGCTAGTGAACTTGAGGAGGACTTACCAGGCATGTTCAAGGATTAAGCCCCCAAGAGTCATATTCCAATTAACATTTCTGCCTTTATCCCCTAAAATCCATATTGTTTTATTCTTCCTAAGTTTAATTCTCTAATCAACTGTTTTCTGGAACTTCATTAGCACGTTGGAATAATGGAATAATCAAAGAGCCTGAACACAGACAATCCTGCCACACAGCTGGACATGTCCCACAGGTTTGTAAACGAGTGACTTGTAGCATGTCTCAGGCCAGGCCAACTCATCTTGCTGAGTCTTCTCATTCATCATTTCCCTTCCAGGTACATTCTGAGCTGCAGCCTGGGACCCAGCTTTACAATTAGCTCCCGGCTTCTACAGTCAGAGCAGAGGGCCCAGAAGGAGAGGCAGGGGGAGCCAGGGCACTGGGGATTGAGGGCAAGGCTTATGGCTCCAGAAGCTGGCCCTCTGGGAGGAGGAGAAGAGGTCTCCCCTGGTGCCCAGTTCTGAGGGGGTGGCTATTTGAATGTGTGGGC